AATATTGTTATAGAATGCTAATTAATTCGAATAATTACTCAGTTATTTGATGATATACAAAATTATCCAAAAATTGGATAATTTACCGAACATTTGGAGTACAAACTCTCTACACACTGTCTACACAGGAGCAAGGCTAATATTTTTTGTAGCCCTGTTGCATGGAAAAATTAAGAGGTCCATGAGCGCAAGCAACGTTGCCAAGTCTGACAAATTTTAGCCCGGCCAGCTAGCAACATCATCTAAATGACAGATTGGGATAAGTTAGACAAGACTAGCCGTATATAACTTATAAATAGACGTGAATCATAATATTTTCTTATTAAAATAGTATGGCTAGATAATATACTTTTTATGTATTTATATAAATTGATTTACTTTTACTAGGGGCTGTAGCCCTTACACCACTTACGGACAAGCTGTCACTGAAACCACTGCTCTATACAAAGCAAGTCTTCAGTAATTAACGTGATAATAAATATTGGCTTTTAAAATTGGATATTAAGGTATTTTAACTGGAGACTTCAATGTCTAAAATAATAATCATATTACATACTACCCAGATGCGAAACCCAACAAAAGATCAAACGATTTTGAAATGAGATTTTTATGACCTATAACTTTTAATGGGTATGATACTCATAGGTGTTGCCAATTTTAATTATTTTCTTATTCGTACTTAATATGACTTTCTTCTAAATATGCATTCTAAATATGCGTTTTGGATACCAGGGTTGGTTTAAGTAAGTAATGGTTTTTTTGTAAAGTGCACTTGTGATGTTTGAAAAGTTGTCGATATAGAAGTTTCATTTTTAAACATTACCAAAACAAAACAAAATTGGCTTTAAAAAAAATAGATGTACAAGACGACACATAACATGGCAATATAAAGATAACGAAATAACTTCCGACAAATTTGAAGCTAGCTCTAGAGTTTCCCAGGGTTCCAGTCCAATACCATTATTATTTTTATTATTTATTAATGATACACCTTCTATTCTTAAATAATCGGATCCATTTTGTTTACCAGTGACTTAAGTATTTAAATGTGTTTAAAATATAAGAGATTGTGTTAAATTACAAATAAATTTTATACAGAGTGTCCCATTAGTGCGAAAGTGTTCAATATTTTAATTGTTATTGATACAATATATATTACAAAAGGCAGGTTGAACCTTATAAAATAATGGTATTTTTAGCAAAAAAAAAACGTAGCCCATATCACATCATTCTCTGATTCGGATTTATCTTCCTCTTCTTCTACTATGGCTACTTTTTACTGCTCTGCAGCAGAAGCAAGGGCAGCTGAAGCAGCAGCAGCAGCAGTAGTTGCTGGTGCACCTCCATCATCGGGCATGGAACTCAATTTTCCACTACCTTTAATGACGCAAATAAGTTTTAAATAAAAGTTTTTTTTTTTTATTTGGTGTCATCGGCATCGGCACAAAAAATTCGAAAAATCCAACTATTCACGGCTTCCTCTGAAGTAAACTATTCCGAATTTGAATTACCCATTTATTCACCAGGCAGAATGGGAAAAGTACTATAGATATATTATGTAGATATCTCATTTTTACTAAACTTTGACTTATCCACTTATTCACGGATGGTATAGAATTGTTCTTAATACATTTAAAAATATTGCTTTACATTTTTTTCAGTTATGTTTTCTTTATTAAAATAACAATAACTCTGTATGGTAATTTTCCTTCTTCAAATACGGGAAACTGCATTTTACTAGACGGTCTGCGAAGCAATATTAGTTTTTCCAATTAAAAACATTGTGATAGTTAAGTTTCGAGCCACTAACTAAAACAATAATGAATTCTATTTATTTAAAATTTATTTTAATAGCGTCATGTTCTCTCTGGCCCTCTGCGACATTAATAGTCTGGCTTGATCCCAAATTGGGTTTTAAAAAAACCAGAAGTGTGTATTTTCGAGAAAGACCAAGAGAGTAATTGTAATTATAGTTAATGAAAGTTTATTATTGAAAATTGGATAAAATATTAACTTTTGTGGGATGTTTTATCGAATTATCTCGTCTATTTCCAGCGCCATAAGTAATTGAAGTTTTTTGTTATTTAACACACATTTAATTATTTAATCATTTCCAAATAGACCCATAAGGTTTAATTACATGAATAATATTAAGAGCTTAACAATATTACTTAACACAATTAAAATCATTATATTTGGACGTGAGAGGGATAACGAAAGTAAATTGGTTTAACTTAACCCTTTTGAGGACAGAGAGGAGATATTGCAGTCTATTCAACATGACCGTTATTCTATACCGTTCTCCTGAAGTCATACTTGAAAATTAACGTACTCTATATGATATACACTACAGAATAAACAACTACAATTAATTAGTCTCACAATAGTCCTGAAAATATCACGGCGGACAATCTACAAATAATTTCAAACTTATTTCTAATAAAATTAATTACTGACAAAATCTGTTATTTTTCTTGAACTTTCTTTTTTTTTTAATTTTATTGTATAGAAACAAAAAACAATTTAATTGCTTGTATAGCTTTCGATAATCGATTTGTGCTGTATTCAGTACATTTTTATATGATTTATTTTGATATTAAAATATTATAACAAATACATATTGCTGAAAAAGTGTCTTGGTATTTAAAAACAATAATTAATGTTATTAAAGATCTATCCGCCGACATTTTTTTCATCAATGTGTCTTATAGTTACATTCCTAAACAATCAACTTTTGTAAATTGTGAAAGTTCCATAAGTATTTCTCGACAGTATTCGTTTTTTCATATACCTTCTGTCAACTTATTATTAAGCCATTGTTCGACAATATTTATGGGCTTGTCCCCTTTCTTGCCACCCGATACTAACTTCGATTTTCTTGTCTATATTGGTTAGCTACGTGATCTGACTTATCCAACGACTTCTTTTAACTCGTCGTTCAATACGAAATTTCACACACATCTCTCAGTTGAATTTGATTTGCCCGTTAATTTCTACGTATACAGAGTTTTTTAAATCAGATTAACATTTCAATCTAAGAATCTATTATTCCATATTAGTAATTTAAATTAATTCTCATAATTAATTGACTCTCATCTTTAATCAAAAGATTCCTACGAATAATAATCTATTTTTCACTTTCCGATTACGTTATAAGATCTTTTATCTGTCAGAACCTGTCAATGTAGCTGGTTGAGGCAGCTTCATAACCAAGTCGTTGTAAAATTGTAAAATTCAATTTTGAACTTGCTGTTGGCTAAATGCTTTAAAATAATCTTTTCATTGTACTAGTCTGTCAAGCCCTTTTTCTTAGGAAACTGAACGAGAACATAATCACCCACAGCGTAGGAGCTCGAAATAAATTGCTCTTCTTCCTCAAAATTGGTAATCTCTTCTATCAATATATTAGAATCACTGTCATCGTTCAACAAAATCTCCCCTGATCCATCATCGAAATCACTATCAGAAACTTGTCGTTTCACTTTCCTGCTTGCCTTTTGCTTACTTTTCGCTTCTGAGCTGGAAGACTTACTTTATTTTCGTTGTTTAATTTCTTCCATTTCTGGTGTATCAGTCACAATGCAATTGTCTCCTGGTTTTGTACCTTTTTTCGAGTTTTTTCTGGGCGCAGCCTTTGGATATGGACAAATTAGTTCTGGAGAAACAAAACTAGATTTATTTGGAATGGGAGAAGGTGTTCTTTCTCTGGAGGACTGTCCCGGAATTGGCTCTGAAGATGGGCGGGTGTTACAACTGTTATCTAGAGAAACATCAAAAGAAAGTGTTAATTTATTAGGCTGATCGGTTACATATGACACCATGAAGTCTTGCTCCGAAAAAACGCCACGGTCGAAAGGATATATTCCAGGCTTCTTAAATCCACTAACAATATTACTAGTAGTAAATGCTCGAGGGTAAGCTTGTCCTAGAGCTTTAGCTATGCAATAAATTGTAAATGTTTTACTCGGATTGTTTCTCAACCATGCATCAATAGACTGGCCATAGAATATTTGCAGGAGTTCATAAACAGAAAAGTCCAAGGGTTTAAACTTATGAGACGTGTGAGGGGGAAACGTTAACATAACAATACCTATTGTATACGCATATTCGAGAGCTTCGATAGACAAATGGGTTTCGTGATTGTCTATAAGAAGTAAGACCCGCTCGTCTTTTGAAGGTTTCACATTAAAGGCAAAGTGTTTTAAAAATACCAAAAAAAAAACTCCATCCGGAGGGATTTGCACCTCCAATGGTCCCAGAGGGGCACCACTAAGCATAAAATCTTTAAAATTAACCCTAGGAAAGATTAACATGAAGGGAATATGGTTTCCGATAGGATTTACTGCTGCATGAAGAGTAACCAACTGACCACGTTCAGCTGAAGTTACACTTCCAACCTGTTTTTTCCCTTTAGGGGCCAAAATTTTAGTTGGTTTTTGAACTGTCGTTAATGCAGTTTCGTCTGTGTTCCAAATTATTTTTGGCGGGATTGGCCCAAACCGGTTATGGACATCTTCAAGATTATTGAAAAATTTGTTTACATTATTTTCATTGAAACTAGTTGATCTTGACAGACTAGTAGCTTCTGGCTTTTTCACTGAAAGGGTATTTTGTGCTGTTTCATAAACCAGCGCATCCATTCTTCTCCCGCTATTACTTGTGTTTAACATTTTTGACAATGGAATCATAACCTCACGTTTTCACATTAAAGGGTTTATATTCTAAATTATGCAATATTTAAAAATTATGTAACATATAATAAGGTAATATGATTGGACAACAGTTCACAGCAACATTCTATTCAAAGTTTTGATTTTATTGTTAATGGTATATAAAATATATCTTCTTCGTTAGTTGTAACAGGATATTTTAATGGGCCAAGTTATATCCTTAGTAAGACATGAGGACAATATCAGCTTTAAAATATTTTTTTTGAGAATGTTTAAAAAATTATTGTCTTTTATTACGTTACAGAATTTTTTAATTGAAATAGTTTCTAAGTTATATAATTATTTAAACTTAAATTGATAATTTAAAAAATATATTATCTAATAAACAAAACATTAACATCTACCCGATTCCATAGATTCAATATGTTTTAATACTTCGGGGACTAAGTATTTCTCTTGAAATTTACTATCAACAAAGTCATCGTGTGTCCACTTCTCATATTTTAAGACAGTCACTCCACAATTTATTTTTGAATTTAGTTGACTGGCCACTGTTAACGCATCCTAAAAAAATATTAGTTCATTTAAATCTGTTACGTTTTTTGACATTTATCATAGCATTAAATATAAATATTTAAAAAATGGAGCTAAATAACAATACCAATGTTTATATTTAATTTGGTTGACCTAGTGACTTTCATTTCTATGTCTGTTTCCTAAATGGTAATTTTAATAGACCCTGAAACGCTTTTTGAGCCAACGTTTGTATTTTTATTTAGGATCCCATGGGTTAAAAGTTATTAAGGTTAAATAAGATTGCTGATAACTTTCTTAGAAAGAAGCAGTCCCTTTAATTATTTAGATAAACTACTTAGGTTCAAAAATGGATACGTAGTATGATTTTACCAGAAATGATGCTCAACTCATCGCAACATAAATAAAACAAAACATGCAACCTTGAAATTATTAAATTACCCGGTTATTTACAATACACATTAATATATGAAGATACAAGTGGATGAAATGCCTATATAGCAAAATAATTTTTACGTATTAATGTTTATTGTTTGGCAGTTATTCCCTAGTCATGTGTCCTTTATCCACTGGCAACTTCTATATTTGATGATATATTATTACGGAAGACATTTCAAACCAATTTTAGGTATAGAAGCCCTCTTCATTGACAGAGAAACACCATTTTAAAAAATGTTACATGTGCCCTTCATCCACTTGTGTCTTCATATATGAAAACGAAAGTAAAAATTATACATTTATCTTTGTTACCTCAACTGTAGTTAGAATATCCCCTTTTCCTAGAATTTGTGCAACTGGAACAGAAATTTTGGACAGATCATATTCTGGGGGTTCAGCAGCACCATATTTTACAGTATTTTCTGCAGATCCGTAGTCAAACTGTCGGAACTTTCCAGTATTAAATACCTGTGCATAATGAAGCGCTACATTTTGTCCTAAGCAATCGGGTGTATTTATAACAACCACTGGAAAATATTCCTGAAACGTACATTTAAAATAATTTTACACAAGTAAAAACAATTAATAATAACAATGAAATTGTGTTAGGGTTCCGCCCTTACTTATGAGATGGGCCCGGAGCTTTATTTCTGCTAGAACAAAAATACTTTAATTAATGTGTCCGGTAGAGTTCGGGTCGGATCCTTAGACAGATTTTAATAAAACAAAATTTCTCGTTTGACAGAACACATGATTTATTTCTGAGGTTACAATTTTGAAATGGGTAATAGAACGAAAGAAAAAATATTCAAAACCACGTCGTTATAATGAAAATTATTACAATATACCTAGAATATATTCTGGTGAGAATATGCTATGTGAAGTCCCTGAATTCATTACAAACCGCTATTGAACTGCGTAAGTATTAAATCTAAAAAAAAAAAAACAAAAAAAATGCTTTTCTAGCTTTTTTTGCTATATCAATGCATCTAATTTGCGTAAAACTGTCTACTATAGGGGTATTCTTGTACTGTGCGATAAATAGTTGTTTGTAAAAAGGAACCTATGATACCACAAGACTGGTTGAGGTTATGCTGGCTTCGATAAATGGGGCTTTAATTCAGAAATGATCTTACTTGGTGATCTTATTTATCAGGTGTCCACTGTAGTACGTCGTACTATATGCCTAAAGGATGTGCTCTTGAAGGTAAGCTGCTGAGAGTCCTATAGAAATAGGGGTTGGTTCTGGGGTACCTAGCCTCGTTATATCCCCATATTCATATGTCTTATCTCTGTAGGATGTAGACTGGCACTATTAAGTGGTGCAGAAGGCAACGTAGTATCGCTATGACAGAAAAAGGCAGGAAAAGCTCAAAAACGGTGAAAGGTCCAGTTGCAGAGTAGAAGGAAGTGAATATAAAGCTCCCAGATAGTTAAAAGAAGGTCTGAAAGAACGATTAGCATAAGCAACACATGAATTGCCTCTGAAACTATAGGTAAGTCAAGGAAATTTTTGAGTTTAATTTTAGGGACTCACCTGAAAATGTCAAACGACCCTTTTAGATTGTAAACACAATCAGTATATTAAAAATCCACCAAAGGGTGTTCAAATCACAACGATGTATTACCTATATTGCTAACTGGTTTAATAGTTTTAGCTCAACGTTCAGATCCTAGAGTACTAGAAAATACAGCATATGCTGCCACAAAGCTGAGTTTATAAAAACTGATAAGAGGAAGTTCCCCAAAGTTGTAGAAAATTCATGTATGTCTTGACTAGTAAATTTTAGCAAAACAAAGTCTGGTTAGAGTATGACCTTACTTGATAAAAGAAGAATTTGACACTTGTGGATGTCATAAAATAAATAAATACAATAATAAAATATAAAAAAATATCTGTACTATTTTGTGTAGTAAAAGATATTTCTTTGGACTCTCTAGAAGTAATCAGGCTGACAAATATAAGACCAAACGGTAGAATATGTTTTACTGTAAAACTAAATACAAAATGAGAAGGCTTACGATTCAAATCTAGAACTTCGTAAATTAATCATATCCCCAGTAGGAATAAATAAAAAGGAAAAACATACTATAGATTAAGTTAGAGTAGAACTAGTATAGGATAGGATACTGTAGAATAGATTAGGTTTAACTTGAAATAGCGTAGAATAGTATAGGTGTAATTATAATAGCATAGTATTAGGATAAAGTAGAATCGTTTAGATTAGGATAGATTAAGTTAGAATAGTTTAGTTTAGGATAAAGTAATATAAATCAAATTAGAATTAGATATAAACTCAGAAAACACTTAAATAAAAGAAAAGTTATGTATTGTTTACGAACTTTGCTGTTTCTACTAAAAATAATCTAGCTAGAATTTTTTACTCAGAACATTTGATAGTGTAGCTAAACCATCAAAAAAATGAAAAGCTAAGAACTTAGAAATAAATTAGTGTTAGGAATTAAACCTGGACCTCCAAGTATATTCTCAATGCCTTTACAAATTAGTAAGTAGACTGGGGGCGGTGTACACACTACTAGTGAAATGTAAATGGAATGAGTACTTCAGTGTGAGAAAATGTTTTGTTAAATTTATTTGTATCGTTGAAAATTTTGTTAACTTCTAATTCGTCCAAGATAAAATAGCTAGTAAGGGAGATAAGTAATGGACAACTCCTTATCTTCCTTACTCTCTGACTTTTTCTTAAACGAATAACGATAAATTTAACAATATTCTACATTGGTTTTGTTATGTTGATGACGTACTGGCTTTCATCTCAGATAATGCTAATGATAGAGAACTTATCCTTGCCGAACTTCTATATATCTATCTCAATTAGCTCTAGGCTTATTGTACCCCACATTTTTTATCTCATCTGGTTAATTTTCTTAATGATTTCAAGAATATGTCTGATGGGCGCTTTTGCAATTTTTTCAGGTTTTGATTATTGTACCCCGAAGTACCATTCCTACCATTCACACATTACAGTTGATATTTTTATACTTGACAGGCACAACCAAGCATTATTTTGATATTTTCCAAATAAAATGGCCGGTTAATTATTTTATCGGGTTGCAACAGAGAGCCAGTAAATTTGATGAAGGTGTTTTTGTAGCTAGGGGCGAAATGGTAGTAGGCTTAAGTTAGCACCACCATAAAAAAAGTCATTTTTAAGAAACTGCTTATATATTTTTTATAAATTGGCAGGCTTAGCGACTAATTTCGAATAAAAATAGCCTCCAAAATGGCTATGGTTGCAATTATGAAAGTAGCAACCCGCCTTAGAAATCACACATTTACAATCAATAGCTGTTGTTTGACAGGTCGTTGGAGAATGCAATGTATGGAATGTTAAGAATGTTAGGCATTAGGCATAATTGGAATTCCTAAAATTAGTCAGATAAGAAATGCATAGGCAGGGCCTAAGTAATTATACAATTTAAAGCGGAATGTGACAATATAAATTAACAAACAAATAAAAGGTTCTTTTCAACAGACACCTAGACAGCATTATTCTTTAGGAAAAATATAAGGAACGGACTCACCAAACTATATCCCGTCGCTTTTTCAAACAAGAGCACTGCTAAGTTGAAATCTTTACATATATGCCAATCGGAGGATTCGGTTGCAGACATCGCCATGAGACAAAGCTCCACCGGTCCTATCAGGATGTTCTTTTTTATATGTAGCTCCTCCAGCATAAAAAAACATTGACAGGCACGTTTCTCTGGCAGCAGATTGCATGGAAAAATAATTTTAGTTTCAACTTGCAGTGACAAGTAGACTTCACCAAGAAACGCACAAATCGTAGCCACATGAAGACTCCACAAAATGGTCTCCATGAAGCAGGTCAAACCTCAGCTTCGTGTCTTCTACTTTAATTTGATTTTCTTTACGAAAAAACAAAAAAAAAAAAAAAAAACTACAAGGCCATCTGATCTCTTCACTCTAGATGACCCGTATAGTTTTGTTTTAAAAAAATTGCTTCCCAAAAAAACCCGTCTACACGCTTTCAAAGCTTTTTCAGAAAAGGTGGCTTTTCACCTTTACCTGTTGTTCCAGCCTGACGTCACAGATCGACTGAACCCCAAATCCACAAAACAATAGAAACAAAAGAAAAAAGTTTCTAATGAAACCATCCAGAATGCCTTGCGACAATCCGAGTCACACCGGGGTCGATAGAACATGGCTGGTTAAATATTGAGTATCCTTATAGTGGAACTCGCCTTTTTTGCTATCAATTGTAAACTGACAGTGACATAACAATCAAAATTAAATTGGGTTATGACTTTATAAACAACAAAATATTTAAGTTTATATGGATTTCCTGAGTGATTTTCATACCTGAGACCCCTACCCTTTTTGGAAGTTCAAATAGGTGCCTGTAAACTAAAACTATGAATTTACATTGCAAAAATTACTCTAATAAGTAAAAAAATGTAATGTAAGTAAATTATTTCATTTCATAGCTCCTACCAAAGTAAAAAAGTAAATTACCATACAATTTATATGCAACAGTTTCTACTAATACCTATGAAAAAATAAGAACGTTACAACCTCTTAGAGGGTTTAACTTAATTCGGTGCCAGTACCCTCCCCAACTTTTTATAATGTATTGTTGTACCAGGTGTCTTAGACGTAAGTTTTTTTATTTGTTAATATTTAAAATTTTAATTTGTAATTCCATTTAGGGCGGCTTTAATGATGGCTTTGTAAGCCTATTTTTACCCACTGAAGTACTTATTTCACTTACATTTTACTAATAAGGCCACCGCAACACAAAGATATTAAAACTTATTGAAATTAGGTTAGGATATTATATGTTCTTGTCATATTTAATACGTATAACATCCTGTACACCTTGCATTAGTTTGAACTTGATTAATTTTTTTGGTTCCCGATTACTGACTACATAAAGCACACATTCCGTTCAATTGATTCGATGAAGTAGGAATCGATTAAATGGATTTACCGACAAATTCTCCTGACTGTAATCCGACGGAATAACTGAACATACATTGGATGCATTAGAAAGACGAAATATCGTATAACGCACAATCCCCCTGAATTGCAAAATTATTCTCAGAGACGAATTGGATGCGATTACGTTGGAGTGGTTTAAAAATATGATTCAATCAATGCCAGAACGATCTATTTGTGGAGGTTATACACTATGGACTCAAATTAAAGGGACCAGGTGGGGTAAATTTTGCATATATAAACAGTAAAATTAGTAATTAAAGAGTTAGATGAATGTAGAGGTGTATTTTAGATTAGGCAATATAAATAGGCGCCATAACGAAGGGTTTTCACGAAAAAATTTTAAATTCTACGTCTCAAATATTTAATAATACGAGGGTCATTCAATAAGTAAAGAGACAAATCATATAATTTTAAAACTATTCAATGAAAGTGTACAATCGTTTCAGGGGTGTTAGATGGCAACCTTGGGATATTATCTGATCAGCTGTTTTATCATTTTATGTCAACATAACCTCAAAATTTTCAATTAACCATGGCAAGTCCACAAGAAGATTGCACCTTAGAAGAACAGCGCTCAGTCATTAGATTTTTAGTCGCAGAAGGTGTAAAACCAATTGAAATTTTTTCTAGAATGTTGATACAGTACGGTAAAAGTTGTATGAGCCGTGCAAATTTTTACAAGTGGGTTGATCGGTTTAAAAGTGGCCGAACAAGTGTAGGTGATGAACCCCGTTGTGGACGTCCAGTGGAAGTTTTTGGTCCCTCGTGATAGCAGAAGAATTACTGTTGAAATGATAGCTAAGGACGTTCAAGTAAGTGTTGGAACTGTTCACAATGTCATTCAGAACAATTTAAAGTACAGAAAAACGTGTGCCAGATGGGTTCCAAGACAGCTTACTGACGCTCATTAAGAATCAAGGTTTTCCATTAGTCAAGACTTAAAGCAATGAAGTTTGATTGAAGAAGACGCTTTTTTTGAAAGCGACGAGGTCTAGATCCATTACTATGATCCTGAGACCAAAGGCAGAGTATGGAGTGGAAATACACTAGCTCTCCAGTCCGCAAAAAATTCAAGGTTCAACCTTCCGCCGGTAAAGTAATGCTGACCATCTTTTGGGACTCACAGGGTCCAGTATTGCGATTTCCTTGAAGATCGGTGAACTATCAATATCCAATACTACTCTGAGATGCTAGAACACAAAGTTAAACCAGCTATCAGGAGCAACCTCGTGGACTCTTGTCAAAAGGAGTCATTCTTCAGCACGATAACGCCCGCCCTCATACAGCTCAACTGACCCGTGATAAGCTTCAAGAATTGGGTTGGGAGGTCTTACCTAATCCTGTCTACAGTCCTGACCTCGCCCCATCTGATTTTTACCTGTTTGGACTAGTCAAAGACGTCCTACGTGGAAAAAGATTTAACAATGAGAACGTTAAAGAAGCGCTGCAAAAGTGGCTTCGGGGTAAATCGAAAGAATTCTTCGCCAAATGAATTAGGAAGCTGCAAGAAAGATGGGATAAATGCATAACTGTGGAGGGTGATTATGTTGAAAAATAGCCTTAATTTTAAAAGATTGAAATAAACCGGTTTTGAGCTATAGCCATTTGTCTCTTTACTTATTGAATGACCCTCGTACATTTACCTCAATCTTAAAATAATAAACTCATTATATTATGCGTGTAAATGTAAGCCATTATCATTTATATTAAAAATTATCTAGACATTTTAGTGTTACAATTGTAAACAAAGGACAAGTTGATAAACGAATACTTAAAAATTTGCAACATAGGTTGGTTTTCATTTACCGCTCTAGGAATATACAAAGAAACCATTTTTGTAGAAATAATAATTTATTCACAAAAACTCAACACGTTAATGGACACAAACTGACTTGAAAAAGTTCGTGTTATGATGTTACATTTTATTTTAAAAATATTTTAATTGAAGCTTTTTCGATAACAGAGATTTTTTAAATATGCAAAAAATTAGGTTGCCCATGTTTCTTTATATTTTTTTTTTGTGATACCGATCGGCGCTTTGTCATATCTCAATACCTTTCTATCCCATAATACCATACAAAAGCACAAGATGATTATTCGAACTGGGTGTAAAATTTACTTAACTTGTGATGGTTGATTTCGCATAACTATCTAATATATGATATGAATATCGTAACTCTAATCGGCATTGTATCCCAGAGGTCGGTTACGCCCTACGGTGTTCTGGGCTAATTTGCACAAACTGCTATGACGACTATCGACGTCATTGTCCATCAACGTTTTAAGCTAAATAATTTTCTTGGATATAAAAAAGGGAAGTATGAGTATAGAAACAAAATTTAAAAAACGTCCTATTATCTTTCATAAACATTTATTGGGCCAGAAAAACATGTTATTTTGCCCGAACCATTTCGGAATAGATTGCAGAGACTATGGTTTAAAAATAAAATTCTGAATGTTATTGTTAAAGCATATTTTGTCTTTAGCTTTGAGACTATAATTTATTCGTCATCGTTGTCGACTTCTTTTACACGACACACATACACATAATTTGAAGTTTTGTGTGGCCGTCAATACAATCTACTTAAATAAATACGACAGGTTTGATACCACTCCATTGCAGCTGTTCATAATCTATCTGGATACCTCTGTTTATCTACTTCTTCCACCCAATTCTTGAAATTATCTCGCTCTTTTTCGTTTTCTTTCTCTATTTCTTTGTCAGGTTTTTCATTTCAATGTTGGTGTGTTTTCGGTCACTAACGCTCTGTTCAATAAGGTATTGATAATTTGCGTTTCTGTTTTGGATGATAATTGCATCCATATTGTAGGTATCGATCGGTGTGTATCTTCTTTCTGTATACTCTGTGGCCTAATTTATTGTCTTCTGGGTTGAATAACACATCTAGAAAAAGAATTTGTCGGTTTTCTTCTATTTCCATGATAAACTGGACTTTAGGATGAAAACTGTTCTTTCGTGGCTACAGATTACAGATGTGTCATCTACATACCTCAGATATTGCTTCGGTTATTTTTCAGCAGTGCCGAATAACTCTCTCTTCAAATTTTTCGATGTAAAAATTGGCCACAATTGTGTGGCGACTCCGTCAATTTGTTTATAGAATGTTGTGAGCAAATGTCGCAAATGATTGACAAGCTCTGAAAAAAACTCCCTTATGTAGCTGACTACTTATTCGAGTGGCATATTTGTGAACAAAGAGATGATGTCAAAGCTGACTAGGATGTCGGTAGGCTCTAATCTGATACTCTTTACGTGTTCCATGAGGTGTGTAGAGTCTCGCACGTAGTTTTTTGTCTTGCAAACGTGTCCAGGTTGTAAGTTAGTGATCCTATGGCACTTGATATTGGCCTTAGTAGTAAATTATCTTTGTGTATCCATATAGTCTTGATGTTAGAGCTTTAGTAGTGCTGTTTTTATTTTTCAGTGGTTATGACGACTCTTATTATGACGACTTTTATAAATTTGGTGGTTTTTGTTCTTGATTGACCAGAATTATGATGTTTTCATCTTCATTGAGACTTCTTATAGCTGCCTTTTGCCGTTTGGTGGTAATAACCAAGAAAGACCATGGCATAACAACCCAGAAAAAAACAAATACAGAAAATTAAAAAGTGTAAGATCTGGTGATCTAGCTGGCCACTAATGATACCTCTTCGTTTGGTGCATTTATTGGTAAATATTTTGTTTAGATAGGTTTTTATAGTTAGAGCATAGTGGTTGATTGTCTCGTATTGTTATGACAAAATATTTTCATTCAACAGGGTCGGACCAACAGCATGTGGGTATACGTTTGCCAGTACAGCAACAATTTCATTTCTAAGTAATTTTTTTTTTTTCAGCTTCAATAAATATTGCTCCAGTTGTATGTTTGCTAATGACACATTCAAACGTTTGTTTACCTTTTATAGATACTGATCATGTATATGACGCATATATTGAAGATTCTGCTCAGACCAATACCAGAATATCTGTAGATTTGCTTCTTCAGTTAACACGAAAGTTATTTTGTTATAATGTTAGTAAGAGTTATCTAATTTCTACATGATTTCTTCGTTATATCTTCACATAAATCGTTTTATACTTATTCCTGGTAATCATTTTGTGAGGATAACATTTTTCATTACGTCAAAACAGTTTTATGCTAGTGGGCATTAAAAATTAAATACTGGTTATTGATTTTCCTAATACTATATAAGCTAGCTAAGCTGATTAATAGCACATATTAAACTTTTGTTCCTGGATCAGTGTTGCAATCGCAAGCAAACTAATAAAAAAACTTTGCTTATCATTGGTAGATTAATTTGGTAACAGGTATTATACAGTTTAATAGCAGGAACTAAATACTTTATAAATCATTATTTAACAGAGTATTAAACCACTTTAATTATGATTAATAAATAGTTTCATAGAGGTCGTTCAATAAAATCCTCTTTTCCATAAACTGGCAGTTGTCTCTATCTAACTAAATAAATTATAACGACATGCAAACCTCAGGATAGTACCCCACTCTTTTATAAAATAGTATTAGAGTTTACTAAAACCTATAATTAAAGTACATTTGTATTTTGACAAACACTTACTGGTGCTATTGATGCTGGATCTGTACCTACTATTGCGCTAAAACCAGCCATCAATGTCAAATACTGCAATGGTCCTTGAGCAGCGAATTTCAGTACTGGCATCATTTCATCCCTCGGGAAGAGTTTTCCATTATAAATTAATTTCAGCCCAAACTAAAAATACAATAACAATTTTTTTTATTTAATATATAATCGCTACGAATGGTATGGTGATTTGGTGATTAGTATTAATTTTACATTAGATATTGTATAATGAGATCGATTTTATATAAGAAATTGCTCTCTTTATATGGTTATTTATTACAATTTTTAATTTTGTGTTGGTACTGACGTTTCTTCTCGCAGTTTGAAATTTTGGTTTAAATTAGTAGGCGTTTTATTGTAAATGTCTGATTACATTAATTGCATTGAGATAATTGAAATGATATTTTAGATATTCTACAAGTTACTACCAACACTTTTTATTGATTAATTATAAACCATGTTGTGTAAAGTTTAAAGAGTGATTATCCATTGTCACAAGAAGTGCCTGTTGGACTTACCTTATTTAAAAAAGTTTGTATTAAAATCAAAACCAACACTAGTAAAAAAAAAATTTAAATTCGACTTATTAACTGAAGCCTAAAACATTTTCCGAGAAAAGCTATTGTAAAATTGACTAACCTTATTTACGCCTTATTTGGGATAAGGTTTTTCCCTAAATTATGAAAAATAAAAGTAATATCAATGATTCTAAAATCTGGGAAACCTCATCCTGAAAATACATTATACAAAACCATGTCACTACTACCAATGTTATAAAAGCTATACCAAAAAACTGCATCCTAAAATATTAGAAGTAATAATAGAGGAAAAGGAGGGTTTTCCTCCTCAGCAATTTGCCTTTAGACATAGTTGCTCTAAAGTTAATCAAGTTTATAAGATTACTAATGTTATTAAAGAGACATTAGTAGAAATGAGAGAAACGGCAAAACGGTTTGATCCATAATATAAAAAACTAATTTTCAAAGCAATATTTAGAACTATTGCAATCTTATTTAATAAAAAACATACTTTTAGAAAATGGCAAGATGAAACTTATTCTAAGTTAAAATAAATTAGAGCAGGAGTGTCACAAGGTCTCCTACTCTCTTTGCTGTATCTCTCTGCGACAGCAAGGACAAAATCATGAAAAGACTGCCGATAAACTTCAAGCATCCATTGACAAAATTAATATCTGCATTAGAACATGAAAGTTAGTCTGTACATGTTGTACATGAGGATTTTACAAACAATCCGGATATACCTATTAGAATTTAAAACAAACAGAATCCATTCTACTAGATTTATGACACTTTTAGGCGACAATGTTCAGTAAGAAGACCAATTGTTAACCTAACGATTTGTCGTCTTTAATCCAGTAGTTCTTTCGTGAATATTGCTGACGGTTCCATAATGAACTCATTGGCTTAATTTAATCCTAGATATTTCTTCCACTCTAAGGCTCTTTTTACATCCATTATCTGATTATTGTTTTGCACTATGCCTTACAAAATCCACAGAAGGGTTGGGGACCAGTCTTAACCTTATCTGAGCCTTCTCGGGCTAATTATTTAGGGTTTTTATTGCCCTGCTATCCTTTGTTGCTTGGTACTCAGGTTTGGGATACTTTGTTTTGACTATTTAGGTCTTAGGGGCAGTCTTTTATCAATTGTGGTTTGATTTCTGATGAGAAAACTGCCTTTAGAGCTACTTGGATGGTAGTTGGCAATAGTTTTGCGATATTTAATGATTCAAAGTAGACTCAAGACTACGCTGGAAAGTCCTTGTAAAGAAAACAAGGAAAGAACTAGGCACAAAATATAAAAAAATGCATTGGCATCTTAGAATAAATTTCTATTTACAATAAATTGCTTCCTATAAACAAACAATTCAACCAGTATGGTCATATGGCATCCAACTCTGTGAATTTACCATGGGGCCCTGATATCGATGCTGTTAACCAGATAATAACCAAGTTTACAAGTTTTTTAAAATTCATAAACAGTAACTTCTTGAACACAAAAACTATGAGGCCATCTAGCTCCTTGACAACATTACCCAGATAAGAACAACAAGGGACAAAGCCTTAGTTAGATATGTTTGTTAGTTACCTGGCAGTGCTAGTAAATTTGTATTAGAGTCAATTGAATAAGGTTATATTAAGATTTTATTTAAATTGTTTATTATTTGTAATTTGTGATCAGTTAACATTATCAATGCAAACTACTAGGCTTTCTATGCGATAAAAAAAACACTTACTGCAAGAGTGGAAGATATCTTCGCGAAGAACTTTAAACTAGACGTACTGTTTTGGAAAAATACAGCCGTACCCATGGTTATTATTCCTATCAGTTTACTCGAGGTATCTTCAGGATAAAGTGTGGCATATGCCAGTGTTGCGGTTGAGCTAAGTGAATAACTAATCATGATTGATTTTCGATTTGTCATATTTTTCACCAGTTCCAATATTTTGGGTGTGTCATATATTGCCATTTCGTGAAAGCTGAAAAATAAATTTAAATTGAAATAGACATGGAAAGGTGCTACTTTTTGACACTCTTATACAGGGTGTTTCATTGGTAAATAGGCATATGTTAACTGCATATGGGGGTCTAGGTGGTTCCAAAAAACCCATACTTCATGGGTCTGTCGCCCTTTATAAGGGAGATATCAATTTTGCCGATTTCTTTATAGGCTCTTAACTTTTGAAACACGCTGTATATTTTTTTGATATTTGGTATATAAGTACACCTTAATTTGTCAAATCCAGTGACGTATTAATAATAGGGAAAATCCAGGTCCGGATTAACAAAAAATTTACAAATTCACCGATACCTAAAACAACACCCTGTATATAATAATTTTAAGTATCTGTTAACAGATTCAAAAAGAGCAGAAAACATTGAGTTACACCAAGTGACTTTGATATTTCCGCATACAGTTTTCTTACTTATTAATTGGAGTCAAAAAGATGAAATAAAATTAAAAAAAATATATTTTTTTCCCAATTAAGTATTTACTTTATCAATTTAAATTCATAATAATAATTAACCTCGTTCATTCTTTTAATTTTTGAATCTCAATCTTTTAAAAAAACGCAACGACAGGTCTGTATTGGGTATAAAATTCTTAAAATTCTAATTTCAATACTATCTTAAACGCCCTGTACTCATGGGCGTCGTTACACAATTCTATAGGGGGGGGGGGCAAAATTTGAAAAAATTTAGTATGTGTATTTATTGAAAAACAAAGAAAATGAAACATAAAAGAGAATTTTTTTACGATGGATTTAATTATTCTGTGACGTCATGGCTTACTTCCGGTTTTTCCAGAAATAACAGAAAATCGCAATTTATTTTTAATTTTTAAATGAAAACCCTCTTTCTTATTGAAAATTTGAATTTCTGGTACATTTTTGTATAAGAAGCATGTATTGAAAATTTTTTCAGTAACATTTTAAGAAAAATATGTTCCAATATGATGATCATTTTGACAGCTGACAAAAAATTTTCAACACGTGATTCTTATCCATAAATGTCTCTAAAATTCAAATGTTCAATAAAAACGGGAGTTTCTATTTAAAAATTAAAAATAAATTGAGATTATGTTATTTCTGATTAAACAGAAGTAAGCCATGAAGTCACACACCAGTTGAATCCAGTATATGAGAGTATTTGTCCCAACCTTTTAAACAAATAAGTTTTCATTCCAGTATCTCAATTAACAACGAAGATAAAAGCGGATAGAATTATTAAACGGTTTGCTAAAATAAAAAGGCTTAGATACGCCACTGGTATACGGTTAATGGGTATCAATGGGAATTTTGATGCCTAATAAGATTTTATAAAGTTCGTACATTCCTATATGTTTTTCCATAAACGAATTAATAGTAACATATTTAGAAAAAATATTATCCAATATGGCGACCACTTTACAGCTGGCAAAAAATTGTCAATACACGATTATTATACAAAAATGTCCCAGAAATTTAAATTTGCAATAAAAAAGAGGGTTTCATTTTAAAAATAAAAAAAATCTGTTATTTTCGGAAAAATCGGAAGTAAGCCATGACGTCACAGAACAATTGAATCCATCATAAGAAAGTCTTTCAAACAGAATAAAATTAATCCGATATCTCACTGAATAGCGAAGCTAAGGGGGAGTGGAACTGTAGTAGTAACCCTAACAATGTCACTGACCTATTTGACAGAACTGATACTTAAGTTGTCATAACAAGTCTTTAATAAATAAAATAATCCAACAAAAAAAGACAAAATAAAAGTATATGGATTTATAAAACAAGTGAAAAAATCAGCTAAAAAAAGTAGTATAATTAATAAAAATCAATAATAAAACATAGGTAGGTATTTACGAGAAAATGTATGAGATCTTGCCTAAGCCTAATAAGTTGTCATTGAAGAATAGGTTAAATAATGTCAAAATAAAAACACTACTATTATATAATAACGTAGAATTAAAACGTATTAACCAAAATAATTGGTATATTTGCGATTGTAATTTATATTTTCTTCATTTTTAGTTCGAAAGGTTCCATAGAAATTAACGATTAAAACTGGTTTCCTATCAATAAGTCATAAGATTGCATTTCAGCCATATACAATAATTAAAGGCAGAAATCATTTGCTTAACATTTAAGACTTAAGGAATGTTGAAGAATATCATAAAATAATAATTTATTGTTTATTTAAAACCTTTTCTGATGTCTATTGTTTCCAATATTACTGTTATTATTACAAAAACAAAGGTTTTTTTCTTCATATTATACAGCTGTCTATTTATTTTTATGATTTAATTTCGATTTTGCTACTGAAAATTTATATAATTTACAGTTCTTTTTCTAGTAAAATTTGCAACATAGTAACTCCGGTTGCTCATTTTATTGTTTTTAACCTATTTTTTAGTAAAAAGTAAAATGTATACGTGTATTTGATACGCCAAAATTACAAAATATCGCCCTAAAGTAACGCAGCTTGCGTTAGTATCGCTTTTGCTTTCCATACCATGACTTCGCACTGATCGAATAGATCGCAGCCATGTTTTAACATGCCTTAGCGTGCTAAACGTTCTTTCGATTAACTCTGTCGTTGGTGGAAGAGCCATAAATATTTTTTAAACCACTTTTTATGTCTGGATAAAATTCACAATATTTGGATGCTATATCATTAATGAAAAGCTCATTGTGTGTAGAAAGCTCTTTCATACTCCAGTTTGGTATTCAACTTCAAAATTGTAGATTCCAAATTTTTCCACTACTTTCATTAATCAGTAATGAAAACAGTATTGTTTTTATGCTTTTGGGATGTAGCAGGCTTAAGGAAAATTATCAGTCTTCGGAAAAGCATGATGTAAGTGACGAAATAAGGGATTCCAGATATCGTCGGCCTAAGATGCAAATGGCCTGACTACACTTTTTACCAAAGATACGTTTTATTGGCTACCCGTTAGTTAAAGATCTGTACTGTCGATTCGAAATGGCCTGTCAAGCCTATTTTAAATATTCGCACCAAAAATTACATGACTCATTTAGTATAACCCCTTTACATTAAGGTTAGGTCTAAAAGATTTTTTGCATTTCCTGAAAAATTTATATTTTAGGAGTTAGGCCATTTGCATCTTAGACCGACGATATTCAATAAATATATTCAACCTATAATATTCTTCAACTATATTAGCCTTAATGTTATTATTTCTATATGAGATTGTTGTTCGTATGCATAATTTTACGCGTTGTTGATTAAGTCGCTAAAAGCCAGGGGGGGGCAACTGCCCCCCCTTGCCCCCCCCCCCCCCCCCCCCCAAACGACGCCCATGCCTGTACTTGTAACGACAGTATGGTAATATTTGTTAAAAACGTAAAATATTATACACATAAGAAAAGGGGAAAACACTCACATTTAAAAAAAAAATCACAATTTTGTTTTGAGACACAATTAGGGGGTAATCATTACAAAATATTATTTATTATAAGAAAGAAACTAAAAATAAGTAAGAAATAATTATGTAAAAAAAATTTAATAACACAATGAAAATGAAAAAAAAATAAAGAAATAACTATAACAGTTGCTCAAAGTGGCCACCGTTTTGTTCAATACATTTCTGAGCTCTTTTGTGAGGTTTCGTATTGCTCTAGTAATCATAGCGGGATTATTGCTTAATTATTGGCAGGCATCCTCGATTCTTTGAAGAAGTTCCTGTCTAGTGTTTAAATCAGATGAATACACTTTAAATAACCCCAAACATGGTAATCGATTGGGTTAAAGTCAGGTCTCCTTGCAGGCCAGTTGTGAGGCTCACCTCTGCCCATCCAGTGATTTGGAAAGTTATCGTTCAGAAAGTTTCTCACTACTACCCTGAAATGAAGTGAAGCCCCATCATGTTGGAAGTACATTCCTGCAATATCAACACCTGCATCATCTAGAAATATGGGTAAAACATCTTGCAGGAATTCTAAATAAACCTCACCAGTTAGTCGACGTGGTAAAACATGTGGTCCAATCAATCGGTTGTTAATAACACCACACATGGGGGGTGGGTTGGCTCAGTGGTTAGAGTCATGACTTTGAGATCGGAAGATCTCAGGATCGAATCCCACCGTATGCCGGGATTTTTTCATTTAATTTAATTATTTAAAATTAATTCTGATGCCTTGGTAGGATTCCCCACTCGACCATTCACTGTTGGGTTCTAATTAACAGTGCTGTTCCTAGAGTGGCGCTGAGAAACAGTAACAAAGCCTACACAGAACACGAGGCTAATAACCATAGCAGTTGATACCGATGACACAAAAAAAAACATATCACTACACCAAATATTGACAAAAAATCTTATCTGTGCGTGTGTTTGTCTTATGGCAAACCGATTTTGTTCGACTTAAATATAAGCATTTCTTGAATTATTAATAGCGTCTCTGGTAAACTAAGCCTCATCGGTAAATAAGGACCTGTGTAATATTCGATTGTTTCTCAATACCCACCTACTAAAAGCCAGTCGAGGAATTTCATCTCCTTCATGCAGCCTCTGTACTTGTTGTAAATGGTATAGATGTTAGCGGTGTTCCTCTGTTTCCCACCACACATTCTTGAAGTCCATACACATGCGTGTCAGGATGGACGAGCGGGAGAAGGCAGACCAGCGCAGTGAGCAGTACGCTAATAGACAGTGGCAATACTACAGCAACATTGTAATTGAGAATACTTGATCGTGAAATAAACCATTGAAAAAGCAGTTTAGACATTTTTATTAGGGATGATACATCCCTTATATTTATATAGATAGAGATTATTTTTTTGACGGAGGAACATTAATGGCGTCACTGATTCTTCTCGTGCTCGATTTTTGGGTCGTCTTGGATCATTTTTAGAATATTTTGCTCCAAACCAATAGGTTGCGACAGACCCATGAAGTATGTGTTTTTTGGAACCACCTAGGTGACCCCCATATGCAGTTAACATATGCCCATTTTCCGATGAAACACACTGTATAAGCAGTTTTTCCGATAGTGCTTCATGGCTAAATAGTTGAACGAAGCGATTGAAGGCATTGTTAAGTTATGCGTTGTTTAAAATTGTAAAAACAAAACAAACAAACGAAAACATTCACATAAAATTTTTATTTCTTTACAAATTACTCTATTTATTTTTGTTATCAAACTTTCATGAAGTAGTATCTCAACAGTGCCATCCAATGATCATTTGTAAAAACGTAAAAGGCGACACTAGTATAAAATTAATGAAAAACTAATTTTTTACCTGAATTTCCAATAGTCATAATCATGTTCTGTAATGTTCCCAGTGTGGCCGAGGCTATATCTTGTTCCTCTGTAATTAACAAAGAAAATTTGCCTGCCAGATTTAATTATGTGGTATGCTGAAAGGGTAATAACAATTTATTTGATGTTTTAACTGAGAAAAACTTTTGCTATAGTGAATTGAAAATTTTATTATGGACACCGAGAGAAATTTTTGTTAGCCGTTAAAAAAGCTTAAAAATAAATTTTAATGAGCCGAATTTTTTTATTGCTTTAGATTGAAGAACCTAATAATTTTAAGGCTCTGTTTTATTAGTAATGGGCGGGCCATAGAGTAACCACAGAACGTTTGTTTAAAATGATAAGGATTGTACCCAATATGCTTTGTAGAAAAAGATACATAGTGTATTGTATTTTACTTCAAACGTCAATTAACGAAAAATGTTTAACGCATTAAAATAAGAAAACTGTTATGTAAATTTGACACTGTGTGGTTTTAAATAATTGATATAACTATTAGGCATTCCAAACTGAATGGCTACCAGTGGGTTCTGACGGGTTATGATATGGCAAAATTATGGCAATCCTGTAGGCCTGGTGATTTGACAAGGTCAATGAAATAGATAGTTACATAGATTGATCATCCAAATTTTTTAAAATAAACATAAGCTTATGCCTTGAAGTAAAAATGTAAGCAATTATTTTTTTTTACATATCTAAAGGCTAAAAATTGGTTTTAAAACACATTTTTGCTAAACCGATTCAAATTAATAAATATTTGCCAGGCAATATGGCCGCTCGTAAACGACCAGCTTTGAGCAATTTATATAACTATATATGTATCATTGATCCTGTTAATGACAACATAACAACAGTGTTGCCATATCTAAACTGTCATTACCCACTGGTAGCCATTTGGACAGGTCGTTGGAATGCCCAATTGTTTCATAGATGTCGCCATTTTCAGATGAAAATCTAAAGACTGAAAATAATTCTCGGTCGGTAAAAAAGTTCAGTATACACTTGTTTTGTAACAGCTGTTCATAGTGTAAGCATGGTGAGTATACAACTTTTAACTATTCTAGATTTATCTGTTTATGTTTTGGGTTTTATTAATAAAACATTTGATGTCTAGTGTCTAGATGAATAACACTTTATAGTTTTGATAATATTTTTAATAAAATATGTTTTGTTTAAAAAAATGATGTGGTCAACTACTAGATCAGAATATTGGTCAACTACTGGTGTTTCTGTTCTGTAGCTTTGGTTATGTGAATAAAATATGTTTTTATTAAAGAAAAAAATATTTTTTAAAGCGGATCCAGTAGATGACCAAGGTTATATAGTGGTCAACTACTAGCTGTTTTTTATTGGTCAATAACTGGTACTTACCTATATTTAGCTGATATCTAGATGATAAGTAATTAAAGTACAAGGTCGTTTATATTTTAGAAAATGTCTGAATCTAAGAGAAGTTTTTTAAATACACCGAACAACAATTACATAACATTACAATAACATATGACTTTCCTATCTAGTTATTACAGGCTTTTCCAGTTATTTTGTACACCTCTTTAAAAGTTTAGAGGATAGACTAAATATATACATTTTCCACATACATCTCACTCGAAACATTTTTTATATACAGTGTGTCTACTTAAGTTGGAACCATATGGAAAAAAAATTTATTATTGATTATTTTTGACAAAATAAAAAATTTTCGTTAAGAAAATCGCTAAATTCTTCAAGAAAAAAAAAAGCGTATCATGTTTATAGTAGAAAAGAGAGATAATGTTTTAAATGCTAACGTAACTTATAACGTTTTTAGATATTCACAATCAATGTGTAGAAAAGTTTATAAAAAAATAAGAAAATTTGTTTTTTTAGATAGATCGGTACAATTGCATATTCGAATGTAATTTTCAATTCTTATCAACTTTTCTTAATGAAAATTTTCGATTTTGTACTTTACTCTTGAGTAAAATTCATATTTTTTGACAAACCTCGTATACGGCTTAAAAAATTTGATATCTGATGACTGTATTTTAAGTTTTGGGTCATGGAAGACTTTTTATTAGAAATAACTTTTTTTCCTAAAATCAATAATACATTTTTTCCAACTTAAGTAGACCCACTGTATATTTATTGCCAACGAAAATTTAAATTTTACGCTTTTCTTCAAATTTTTCCAATACGGTCTATTTTAGAGAAATTAAAGAAATCGATATCTCAAACAACTTTTAGTTTAACAATTTTCATAAAAATTAGAATTTTGCACATTTTGTTAAATTTCGCAAATACGGACCATTTTATCAAAATGTTGTATAGAACAAAAATTATAGAAAATAAAATTTAAAGTAACTTTTATTTTAAGAATTTTCTTTTCCAAACGCAAATAACAGATATATTCCATAAAATGACCCCTTATGAAGCACCCCCCCCTCCCTAGATGTTTCGACTATGCCAAAAATATAATGATTAACGCAGGCCAGAATAAATGTTAAATTTAATATTTGGTATTTTTCTCTTTGTCCGTTTTTGATTTTTTATCAAAATTCGAAATTTACACATTTTCTCAAATATCTGGAATATGGTCCATTTTAGAGAAATTACGTACCAAACAAAAATTACAGGAAATAATATTGCAAGCAACTTTTGTTTGAACAATTTTATTAAAAATATAATTTTTTTACATTTTATCAAATTTTTCGAATACGGCCCATTTTAGTAAAATTTTGTATAGTACAAGTATTGTAGAAAATATTATAAGAAGTAATTTCTATTAATGAAATTTTCTTGTCCAAACATTCCAAATATTCCATGAAATATAAAAATTACTCCTCATAAAGTACCCCCCCAGATGTTCCGACTCTGTCCAAAATCTAATCTATTTACTGCAGGATGGAATAAGGCTTGAGTTTTAAATTGAAATCTGTCGAAAACAATTATGATTCCTATACTTTTCTTATCTGTATACAGATATGAAAGGACAAAACTCTAATAATTTTATCTGTGGGTATTAAAATTTTTATTGTTAATATGACACAACAAAACCTATTAATAACAAATATTAAACGTATGTTCTCGGGTCAGAGTTGCTGTCACAAGCAAACTAATAGAGTACTAAATTAATTTAATAACAGGTAACAGTTTAATGGAAGGAACCTAATACTTTAATAGTCGTTAGCGTAATGAGAGTTATTAAACAATTTGATAGTAGTTAGGTCATAAATATTGATAATTTAATAACTGCTATAATGCTTTAATGATTTTACATATTCTTTATTTCAGTATGAATAACCCTATAATAGAAAACCAATAACCATTAGGCATATGCTAATAAAGCAATGTGAGATAAATAAAGGAAGAATAACAAATAATTCATAAAAAAATACACAAAAAAGCAAAACAACAAAATATGGGATAATATATACAGCACACGGAAAAAACGGTACCAAATAAATTATTTACTTGATAAAATACGATTGCTATAGTTATTTTTTAACTATTTTAAAGATTAATTCAATTAGCATAAGTAAAAGTATGTTTCTGAACACGTATTTCTGTCAGAAGTAAACAAGTTTCCCAAAGTAAGGTTTTTCTAATTAACATAGGCACCAGTTTGCCTACGATAAATGACTACTGTTTCTGAAACATTTACTTACGGCTAGCGTCCGCTTAAATACAGTAAGTCCCGAAAACAATCAACAGGAATAACTTATTTATAACAATTTTTCCAGGGTCGATTTTTTTGCAATACTCCAAATTTGGAATATCTTGCACAATGTATACAACTTATATTTTTATGTTTGGAGAAAAATGAATAAATATTTACCCAAGGAATGCGTATAAAGTGACAAAAATCCTAAAGTGTTCATTATAATCCCATGGCCCAGTATAATCGGAATAGGATTAGATATATTTTGGTATGCTCTAATTACAAGAATCTGATATCCGTCATCAGTAGTTATGTTATATTCTTCCGCTGTACAGTTCCAACGATAACGAAGAATTTCTGTCTAAAAATAAAATTGAATTATTAATAAGAGCTACTCTGGGCTGTTATACACTGCGTTTATGAACCTCCGTTTAATACGTTCGATTTAAATATAATACGTGCATTTGTATCGGTAGTGGGTAGTGGTACCGGGTGTAGTGACAAAAAAAGAAGGGGGGGGAGATGGACGGCCGATTTTCGATACACAACTTAAATTATTTATCAAAGGTCTTTGATAATACATTCATATTTACGTAACCTTATTACAAAAATAATATCTCATTATTCTTTTATCTTAAGTGTGTTATTCCTACTAGTTGCTTCTAGCTAGTCTAGCCTAGTTCATCTTCTTTTTGTTCAGATTCTATGCGAGGTACCTTTAGTTCTAACTTTCGAATGCCGAACATTTAAGAGCTGTAGAGATAAAAAATAATATATCCTAACTTTTTAGGCCTAATAATTCTGTGGTAACCGAATGTTTCAGAATTTTTCATTCCTGTATGGAAATTGCCACATTTGTTAAAACTAAACGGTTTACCTATCTTTTTATTAAACTGAATAGGTAAAGATAAAATAAGAAATATATACGCTTAAATAAACACAACAAATAGCCCTAAATATATATATTTTTTATTATTCAAAATAAGCGCAATTTAGTAAAATCAAACTAAGTTGTTTCTGTCGATTATCTCACAAACTAGTTTCAATATTTTGGAGTCCCTCTTTGCTTTGTCTGTGCATTTTTACGGCTTCACTCATTTAATTATAAAGACTATTCACAGAATGTTTAATAAAGCAAGTCACCTCGGGAACTCCTTTCCGATACGACTATGTTGGACGAAGCGAGACAGTTGGTCTGTGTAGAGTTTAAAGCGAACACTGATCTAGTACATTCGAAAAATATTTGGAATTCTTCTACAACCAGTACGGTGCGCAGCATTTTTATATAAATAGACTAAATTTCCGTTTAAATTAAATCGATATAAAGAATTTGTTGTGGAAAGATCAATTGTTTGAAATATAAAAAATGCTGATATAGAAAATAGGAATTTAAGATAATTTACTATTGAGTTGTAAAATATTTATTAAATATAACTATAGAAATAAACTAAAATAAATAAACTTTATAATATCTTAGGATTGAACTTGAATAAATAGTTCCATTCCATGTACTTCTTGATTACAGTAAAGCCTTTGATAGAATTAATCATCAGCTGTTGCTAGGAGTCTTGCATTTCATTGGTTTTAGCGATACAGCTTTGAATTTAGTACGTAACTACCTAAGTGATAGGTTTCAAAGAGTTAAATTACATAATCGTTTATCTTCTCCAAAAAATATAACAAACGGTGTTCCACAGGGTTCTATTCTCGGGCCTCTATTCTTCTGTACTTATACTTGTTTATTTCAAGATTGCCTTCAGCATTGCCGCTCACATTTTTATGCCGACGATACACAGTTATATATATCCTTTCCCCCTAAAGATTTTCATAATAACATTAAAAATATAACTAGGGATTTAACGGCACTTTTTCAATTATCTAATGACTACTGCCTTGATATAAATTCTTCTAAATCAAAAACCCTGCTGTTTGGTCGAAAGCACTGTCGACTTCAATATAAGGATCAATTTAAGATTATAGTAAATAATGAAACTTTACCTACTTCGGAAATATCAAAAAACTTGGGCTTATTTTTAGATACGGATCTACGGTTTGTAAAACACGTAAATCAGATTATAAAAAAATGTATGACTAACATAAAAATGATATATGCAAATAAATACATCTTAACTCATCAAGCTGAACGTACGTTGTGCGAATCACTAGTATTTTCACATATGCATTATTGCGATTCGGTATATGGCCCTTGTGTAACACGATATGATAGTCAACGTCTTCAACGCATGCAAAATATTTGTATTAGATTAGTGTATAATTTAAAAAAAAGGCAAGGAGTGTCAGCTAAGCGATTTGAATTGTCTTGGCTATCTGTTCAGGAAGCGCGTTTTTTACACACCTGTTGTCTCTATCGAAAAATTGTCAATCTTAAAACTCCCCCCTACGTGTATAACAAAATAAGATTCAGAAGCGATGTACACAATATTAATATTCGCAGAAAGAATGATATCTCTATTCCTCGACATTCCACTGCTATGTTTAAAAGTTCATTTTCATATTTAATAGGCCGTATCTTGAATCTTATACCAATAGAGTTTAAAAAATTAAGTCATGTAACTTTTAAAAATAAGTTGAAATTTTTGTTACTTCGGGGACAGCATTTGATCGATTTTAAAATATAAATATTAATTTGTGATTATTTGATTGATCTTTGTATATTTTTATATTTATTGCTTGAAGCAACGTTCACTAATTTTCATTGAGCTTCGTCTACTAGACTAGGTAGGTATTTATGATGTCTTTGTTTGTTATTAATTACAATTTTCATTTTTTTATGTGTATCCATTATGTATTTATATATGTACTACATTTAAGGGGTGTTTATATTTAAACTATTAATTTTGACGGGCGTATTGAAAACCATTTTAGTCTGTCTTCTGATAGGCTACGATGAATACGATTCCTTTTCAGTATAGTATATAATCCTTGTATTTTTGTTAAAACTTCTTGTGTTTCACTATTTTATGTATATGGATTCTGCTTTCTGAATAAATATTATTATTATTATTATTATTATTATTTAACCCATTAACGCCCAGTGTACTCATTTGAGTACACCTACAATATCGCGATCGCAACGCCACACAACGCCGTATTTTGTAAATGTAACATAAAGTCATTGTTTACAAGTGTTATTTTACGACAACTGTGGTAGTCGTTTTAAAAAATTGTTATCCTGTTAGATCTGGCAGTACATATCAGTGCCGCGCTTCTACGTGTTGTTGATGTAATTAGAGGTGAGTTGACATTATACACTATGACCGACATTGTAAATAAGTGTTATAGGATAAATGTGTTAAAAATGTTTTATAGGTTATGTGTCAACATTATGATCATATGTAAATAGTTCTACGATATTAGGTTTGTTTGTTATTCTGATGTAAATCTCGGTGTACTCGTTTGAGTACATTGGGCACATGAGTACACTGGATATTTTTTCCAGGAACATTTTACAATGGACATCAACGAAATTCCAACTAGCTCTTTTTATGGTAAAAGATTCAAAACCTTAGCTTCTGCAGTTGATGCTGTTGAACAGGCAAATATTGGTAATTCAGAACTTGATGTCGTTATAATTCTACCAGAAGTGAATTATCAAACGGACGAGGAAGAATTCGATGAAGACGATTTATTAGTTGCAAACCTACCAGAAGATATTCCAGGTAAGGTGGAAATTGACCTCAATTGGATTGATTTTGAAAAAGAAGAAGAAGACGACCTGTCACTGATGGATCTTCAAATTATACAACCAGACAATACTACTGAAAATTTCGATAATACCTCACTGTTAGAGAGATGGCATCTTCTAAAGGGGAACCCTAATTGGACGCAAGTACCTACGGTATTAGAGTTGCCTAGCATAGATGGAGCCGATTATCGGTTAGAACAACTTCGCCAAGATCTAAGAGAGATGCTGTAGAGATTTTCGAAAAACTATTTGATGACAAAGTTGTCCAACATATTGTCGATCAAACCAATATTTATGCGGCATCTAAAAACAATCATAACTTTGTAACAACTAAAGAAGAGTTAAACATTTTTGTTGGTGTGCTTCTCTTCTCTGGGTACCATAAATTACCTCGTGAGCGCCTTTATTGAAATCTTGATGAGGATGTTGGAGTTCATTTTATTTCGAATGCAAGTTGTCGAAACAGATTGACAGAAATAAAAAAATATTTTCATTTATCAGATAACAGAATACTTGATAGTGAGGACAAAATGTATAAGATTCGACCACTTATGAACATTCTCAATTCAAAGTTTCAACAATGGGGAATTTTTCACAAATTCTTGTCTATAGACGAAGCTATGGTTATATACTATGGTCATCACTCTGCGAAGCAATTTATAAGAGGTAAACCTGTTCGTTTCGGGTACAAAGACTGGATGTTGTGTAGCTCGGATGGATATTGCTATGCATTTCGATACATATTGTGGAGCTAAACCGTCATCTAGTCAAGGACAAACTAAAATTAAAACCACGCTTCCACTAGGTTCACGAGTGGTTCTTGATTTTGTAAAAGTAATTGATACCCCAAGTGATCATGTCCTATTTTTCGACAATTATTTTGCAAGCCATGATCTTTTAAATACACTTCGAAAGCATAAAATACGAGCTACTGTTACTGTACGGGATAATCGTACAAAAAAATGTCCTCTTAAACCTGCCAAGAAAATTAAAAAAAATATCGTAGATTCTTTGATTTTCAATACGATAAAAGAAACCATCTTCTATTTGTTAGATGGAATGATAATAGTGCAGTAACGATGGTTACAAACTATGATTCAGTCGAACCTTTAGCCAAGTCAAGAGATGGTCTTCGAAAAGAAAAGAGAAAATTTCAGTACCACAACCGCAACTTTTTAAAAACTATAACTACCGTATGGACGGTGTTGATCTGTTAGATCAAGGGGTCAATAATTATAGAATTGCTGTCCACGATAAAAAATGGTGGTCTTTACTCATATGATAAACTTAACTATTGTAAATGCCTGGAGATTACATAAAATTATTTACCCCAATGACAAAGTGGATCTTTTGCAATTTTTTAGAAGCATTACTCGTCACTATCTACGCTCCTATAATAAGGCTGTACAAAGAAGATCTGTATCTAGTAGGCCTTCTGGTTCATTACCAAGAAGTATATTGGAAGATCCGGTTATACATTTCCCCAAAAAAATTGAGAACCAGCTCAGATGTCGGCAATGTCATATGAGGGCTAGATGTATATGTGAAAAATGTAATGTGACTCTGTGCATTGAACGAGAGTGTTTCAAAATATTTTATTCTTAGTTGTTGCTTTACAGTATTATAATAATTGACATTCAAAATAATAAATATAAAGTAAAGTATTTTTGGTAAAACTTATTATCCCATTGTACTTATTTGGGTATACACATTTTTTAAAAAGTATAAAAGAAAAAAACATTTTTTATTGTAAGTACAAGTATGAGGAGGATATTTTTAGTTAAAAAAATCTGATTTAATATTTTTTTTCTGATAGGGCGCTGGTGGGCACTAATGGATTAACCAACTTTATATCCAAATGCCCACCCTTTATCTATAAGTAAAGAATTTCCATATATTTTCAGCAAATTTAGTTTCTTTCCTTTTCACGCTGATGTAAGTAAACATTTTTAATAATTTATCAACTTACCACATTAAGATTAGTATCCGGATTGTCATAACATTCTTTATCACCAATAATATAATAATCCAGATTGTTTTTGCAAACTCTCACCAAAACGGTATAATTCGCAAAACAAATTAGCATTGTAATAGTAAAACCGATGAAGCGTTGCGAACTCATTTTTCCAGTCCATTTTACAACTTAAAACACATATTTAAATAAACAGTTACTATCTCATTTTACATTCGTAAAAATTCGTCAATGTCATTTAGAGTAATTAATTATTTAAAAAAAGAACTCAAAATTAAAGTGGGTTGTATGATACATATTTATAACCACTGTTTTTTTATTGTTTTCGCAAAAGTTTGTCACACTTACTTTCGTATCAACTGCAACATCGTCGAAAATATGTGCAGCAATTATAGGTTATCGCTTTTACGATTCCCTTTAACGATGTTGTTACTAACATAGTCATATCTTTCTGTTTTAATATTTTATTCGAAACAATATTTTCCATATACCGTATAGGTTTTAATGAATTAAATGTTTTCAATTTAAAAATATTTAAAATAAAAACGTCGGACAAGTCTTAACTATCAGTTGTTTAAAAAAAAAAAATTACATAAAAGTTAGTCTTGTTAATAAATAGTTTTTACTTCTTATAATATCTATATACTGACTTCTTACTTATATACAGGGTGGTAGTAACATTTTTAGACGAAACAACTTCCATATTGTTAAATAATAAAAAAATGTATTGGTCAATTTTCAGAAGGCGGACGAAAAATTTCAGAACTAAATTCCAATATTAGATCTGCATTTTTTTGTAGAAATAGAAACAGATATTATGCTTAGCACGAAAATTTTAAAATTATTGGAAATATTTTGAACACCTACAATATCGAAAACAATCAATAGTAATAAAGGGATTGATTACAGAATAATACATTTTTTTCATACATATTTGGTAATTGGAAAACGTAAGTTTTGTGCACAATGAAGACTGACTTTTTACGGTATAATAGGTTTTAAAGGTTTTAAATGTTATTTTCGAAACAACTATCTACAAAAATTGGATAAAGTGATAAATAGAGGGCGGAATATATACATCAAAATATAACAAAATATGCGCATATATATGCATCGTTTTTACCAAAAATATGCAGTTATTTTGTCCAATTATGCCTAAATATGCAAATGCATATTTAGTAGGGGGTAGGTAGCTCAGTGGTTAGTGCGTTGGCCTGTGGACTTAGGGGTCGCAGGTTCAAATTCCAGCCGGGACGCGATTTTTTAAATTAATTAATTTATTTAAAAATTAATTCTGATGCCTAGCGAATATCTCCACTTGACCATTCACTGTTGGGTTCTAATTAACATTGCTGTTCCTAATTTGGTACGCTATCAAAGCCATTACACGAAAAAAAAAAACAAAAGAAAATATGTAATATAAACATTTATTTAAAACACAAAAACTAGTAGAAGTTAAGTATAGAATAGTATAAAAATATTAAATAGTAATATTATAATAGGAATTTATAATTAAATATTTTTCGAAATTTTCTATTAAAAATTTTTGTCTTCTGTCTGTAAAAATATGTTTTGATATAGAAAAGGTCCTTTCAACATCTACCGAAGTAATAGGACAATACCGTAATTTTGAAAGTAATGTACAGGGCCAACGTAAAACTTCTTTGGAAAATTTTCCCTCAAAAATGTTTTTCACTTCCCTTATTTCATTGAACCCTTCATTCTTTAATAAAGTTGTATTTAATGTTTTTCTAATCTTAAGGCCTATGTCACCAGGAACACTGTTACATTTATCGGAAACTGTTGCAATAAAATTTGTTGATTCGATTAAACTTAAATTTTTCTTTTCCAATGAAGTTATTACATCAGGTAAAAAACTAAAATTAACCTTTATAAACACAAGTTGCTTAGGCACAAGGGGATTTTTTAACAATTCTTTACTTTGCACTACACATTGTGAATTGTCTTCTATATCCAAAATTAAATCCTTAATTGCTTCAAAATTTTCTGCATAGAATATAGCTGCTTTAATACATGTCCCCCATCGCGTAATGACGGGTTCCGGGGGGAAACATACCCCTACCATTTTCTCTTTATACAACTGCACTCTTAAAGGGGCTTTTAAAAATATTTTTTTCACATTCGAAATTAGCTTGTTAACCAAGGGATATTCTGTTCTCACAGTTTCTGCAACTAAGTTTATTCCATGAAGAACACAAGTAACGTGGGCCATATTTGGATAAAATATTTTTAAGTTTTGCCCTACTTTTATCATATATGGTGCTGCGTCAGACAAAAACACTAAGAACTTCTCTGAGGGAATTTGATTTGGTAAAAAAAATTCTGCTAGAGATTGTTGAATAAATCGGGTAACAGTTGTATTGTTAGTTTTTTCTAACTGTTTTGATGCAATTAAATATGATGTACCTGGTTCATTTTCTTTTAAGGCTCCAATCATAAGATGTACCATATATCTTCCACAAGCATCTGTGCTTTTATCAACAATGATGTAAAAATTGCTATCATCCAGTTAAACTTTAATTTCTTCTATTACATTTAAATATATAGCATGTACATTTTTTTTCTGAGTGTAGATTCGTCAGGAATCGTTTGATTGCAATATTTTTGTAAAAATTCTCTTAGATGTAGGTTTTGTAACTTCTTTAATGGAATATTTGCCGCAACAAGAGCTTTGCACAAGTCCTGATTAAATACCTCCTTGTCACTTTTTGTTTTGTCGGCGTTTTGAAATGACCTCACAACGCATTGTTGAACCGGTTATAATTTCATTTTTTGCAATTTGGCTTTATGCAATGATGTTTTCACGTGTTGAACCACTTTGAACTTTTTTTCGCAAACCATTATTTTGGCACAAGCTTTACAAAAAACTTTATCGCCATTGATTTCCAACTCTGGAAAGTTAATAATCCACGAAGAAATTCTCGACATTTTATGACACTTTTAAAACAACAAATTATTACAAGACTTTTCACTAGGCAAATAACGAGGATACTATCTCATTAAACTGAATGAAAAACATTCAAAATATTCCGATGTTAGGGTAGATTGGTTACAAGAAATTACTGAGAATTTTATATAAACCGTTTTATTGCATTGTAGGTAATACTTTATCTGTGTAAATACCATCTATTAACAATTACCTTAACGGGCTTAATCTCTTAAGAAGGTAAAAACCCAGTGCATGCCACCCTCCAAGAACTAATTAACAAGAATTTACAAGAAGTGACACTTAAAAACAAATACAAAAATTTAAAAGGTCTTTATTTCAAATATATCTGTATAATCTGTTAAAACAGTTTTTGATTTGCACAGTATAGAAATACATTTTTTTTTTCGAAAATATGCAATATTTTCTTAAATTTTCTGAACTTTGGTAAAATATGCAATATTTTCTGAATTTTGGAAAAATATGCAATATTTTCTGAACTTTGGTAAAATATGCAAAAAATGCATATATATGCATTTTGCATATATTCCGATCTCTAGTGATGAACAAGTCAAATAAACCTATGTTTCGAACAAACAAAAACCCAAAAAAAAACGAAAACCTGCAAAATATTAAAATTAAATTAGAGATTAAGATAAAATAAATATTTTAAAAATATTTTAATGAGTCCTCATCTTGGAGTAGAACCCCGAACCTTTCGCCTAAAAATTTACTACTTTATCTCCGCACTAACGAAAAAACATGTTTTTTCTTTAATACTGATAAATAGATTGGTTTTAGTGATAATAAAATTTATGATTTAGTTGTAAATATGGACGAATATCTTGGGGAATGCTTTTATTTTTTCATCAATTCTTTACAAAAACACACATTTTAAATTATATTTATTCTTAATAACTAAAAAAATTAGTGACAATTAGTTTGGCAGAATCGTTTATTTAAAATTTTAATAAAGAGTAGTAACCAGATCACCAAATATGATCTATTATTTGTCGATTTCATATCCTTTTTAGAATGAATATATAATTGTATTCAATCAGTAGAATATAATGGCCTACTTCATGGTTTTGTAGATTGTGCTTGTAACGTGATCTCTAGTTATTCTATCTACTTGCATAATGTGTTTAAGCTCAATTGATTGGGCGTGGGTTAGGTTATTAAATAACTCGAATAACTTTGAAGAAGAAGTTGGGCACCACTATATTTAAAGTTTACTACACTTGACTTCAGATTAGTAATAAAAATATAGAAAATCACTAACCACTGACAAATTATATTTAAAACATGCTTTAGATAAGGTAGTAGCAAATTCTAATTTACATAGTTTTACTAAATTTAAATTTAAGATGATTTATTCAATAGCACTTATATTTTGTTAAAAGAAGGTAATATAAGGAATGTTTATCGCATGGTATATCCTCAGGCAGCTTCTTCAAAGGGATTCGGGATCCTTATTCATAATTCTGCAACGTGAATGATCTTGTGGAAACTGTCTAGATCTTCTAAAGATGAATCAAACCACGGTCCTCAGAATGTACCAAAACCAAAACAAACTTCTAGGTATATAAACCATAAAACATCTTGATAGGAATTCAAAAGTTTCTTGAGAAGAATTCAAAACAGTCTTGAGAGGAATTGAAAACCGTCTTGAGAGAAATTCAAAACCGTCTAGATATCGCCATGCTTATAGAATCAGACGGATTTTACGATAGATTAAATTCAATTAGTAGATCGGATGACCAAGATATTAAAATGAATGTAATCTATTTGATATATTCAATTCAAATTAAATAAAATATGAACTTTTGACACAAGGCATAAACGACAAATGACATTTGAGTGATTGTGTTGAAATAACGAACCCTTACAGACTATATGTATAGTATCCATGTTAAACTATCCCAAAACAGATTCTCTTGGTGAAATCGTAATCTGTCAAACTTACGATTCAAAGTACGAAAGCTCTATAATAGGGCCAACATAGCCGAGCTCGGCAGAGATACACCGAGATACCTACCTACCACCTACAACAAAGAAATCAAAAAAGCTGAACGCAATAGCTTTAGGAAATTCTGCTGGTCGATTAGTTCTACACCTGCGGCAATGAAACTGTAGAAGGCCCCTGGCAAAAGGGAGAGTTGATACAGTTGTGGCATTAAAGAAACCAAGTGGAAGCTCTGTGGACAACAATAAGGAGGAAGGAGCTCGCCTCTTGCTCGAAACTAACCTTCCTTAGAGCACACCTTTTCTAAGAAGTAAAGTAAGCAGACCCTTAAGAGAGGTTGCTGTAGTGGCAGCAGCAGCAGCAGCAGCAGCAGCAGCAGCAGCAATCGGTTAAAGTGGATCATGAATACTTTTGAACCGTTTAGGTCTTTAGGTATGGATGGAATATTTCTTGCCCTGCTTCAGCGGGTACAGGAGGAGTTTATATCACACATAATCCGGATATTCCAGAACAGTGTAAAACTGGGATACACACCAGAATCTTAAAAAAAGGCCAGAGTCACCTTTATTCTAAAAATAGGGAAAAAAGGATACCACACATCCTAAATCCATTTAATCAATCAGCCTCACAGCCTTTGTATTAAAAACTAAGGAGAAGACGATAATTATATCAGAACAGAAGTTGTATGCAACTTCACCACAGCCATCACTCGTACCGAGCAGGAAGATCTACATAAACTGTTCTGGTAAAGCTGACTGACATTTTTTCATTGACACTGTCATTTTAAGCTTCGCTTATTTCTTAACTACTAGCAGTGCGAATACCTCAGAAAGTTTTATAAATAATAATAATAATAATAATCATTTATTTCTGTAGACCTGAATACATAGGTATAGAAAACGTCACACAAAATTTACAAACAAGACAAAAATGTATGAGTAAAAACAAACTTATACATAATTCGTTACAAACAATACATTTAAAACATTTAAGTAAAATTAAAACATTTAAGTGAAATTATAACAAAACATTTAAGTAAAATTGCAGTTGAGGTATTCCTCAACACTATAAAAAGTGTGATCTAGTAAGACCTCTGTTACTTGGGTTTTGAAAGCTTTAACATCATTTATGCATTTTATGTTATCCAGAAGTTTATTGTAAAGCTTGATTGCTGTAATTAGAGGTCCTTTACTTGCCATAACTCAAGCATAACCCAAGCATCTTCCAGGCAGAAATTCATGCTTAAGTGTACTCAATTTAACATCGAGAGAAAATATCGTATGCAAGAGAATATCATCATGTTCGATAGCCAAGCAGCTATCATAGTGCTCTGCTCTTACGTATTCAGTTAGAAATGGTTTGGAGATGCCTAGAACAACTAAATGAGCTAGGCGAGAAAAATACAGTTACTTACTTGATTCGCAGGACATAACGGGCTAAAGGAAAAGGACTCAAACACTTTTTGTAGGATCCGAATCATTCTGCGGTATTAGCAGTAAAATAATATCAGGAGAGATTAAAACAAATTGGGGGGTAGAAGAACCGATAATTGAAACAATCTCTTGGGTCTAAGATACTTCTGAGTGAATATAACCAGAAAAGATTGGAAGCATGTATCTGCCCAAGCAAGAACAGGCTACACATTATAATATTGATCCTTACTGGACATTTTCAAGAGTAGTTTAAGATAGTGAGGAGGAGGAGAAGGAAGAAACCTTTATTCGAATGCTGCCCGAATGTGTAGCACCCAGAGTCCAATTTTTTGTTTTGTTTTTTGTTGCAGGGAAACCGCTTGGCACCCGCTGGGTCTATACAGTTGGTAGTGCCGAACACTACTCCGACTCTAACCACTCCTCGTTTTTTTCTACGGTGGCCTCGTTTCACTCTGGGACCGCCTTTCTGCATTTCATCAGGATGGGGACTTCGTGTTTTGGGTTTAGATATTTTTCTATTTCACCCTTTCCTTATATTTCTCCCATTTCCTAGAAGTCTGTTTCTTTCTCCTCTTTGCTCTTTATTATTTTCCTGATATTTTCCTTTATTTTATTCCAATTTCCCTGGTCTTCCATCATTTTTCCCACGATATTTTGCAAAGAAAGATCCAGTTCCCTAATAATTTCCTTGTCATGTCTCCACCTGACACATGAGAAGACCGTCTGTTCAAGTGTGTCAGTATGTTTTGATTCTAAATGAGCCATGCCCACTTAGAAACTGCATTATGTAGTAGTCCTTTTTACTTTCCTATCTGTATACAGATATAAGGAAAGTATAGGAATCATGATTTTTTTCGACCTCGAGTTTTCGACGGATTTTACGTTTTGAGGTCCCCTGAATCCGTTTTGACTATTTTCGCGATGATGTCTGTGTGTGTGTGTGTGTGTGTGTGTGTGTGTGTGTGTGTGTGTGTGTGTGTGTGTGTGTGTGTGTGTGTGTGTGTGTGTGTGTGTGTGTGTGTGTGTGTGTGTGTGTGTCTGTGTGTCTGTGTGTCTGTGTGTCTGTGTGTGTGTGTGTGTGTGTGTGTGTGTGTGTGTGTGTGTGTGTGTGTGTGTGTGTGTGTGTGTGTGTGTGTGTGTGTGTGTGTGTGTGTGTGTGTGTGTGTGTGTGTGTGTGTGTGTGTGTGTGTGTGTGTGTGTGTGTGTGTGTGTGTGTGTGTGTGTGTGTGTGTGTGTGTGTGTGTGTGTGTGTGTGTGTGTGTGTGTGTGTGTGTGTGTGTGTGTGTGTGTGTGTGTGTGTGTGTGTGTGTGTGTGTGTGTGTGTGTGTGTGTGTGTGTGTGTGTGTGTGTGTGTGTGTGTGTGTGTGTGTGTGTGTGTGTGTGTGTGTGTGTGTGTGTGTGTGTGTGTGTGTGTGTGTGTGTGTGTGTGTGTGTGTGTGTGTGTGTGTGTGTGTGTGTGTGTGTGTGTGTGTGTGTGTGTGTGTGTGTGTGTGTGTGTGTGTGTGTGTGTGTGTGTGTGTGTGTGTGTGTGTGTGTGTGTGTGTGTGTGTGTGTGTGTGTGTGTGTGTGTGTGTGTGTGTGTGTGTGTGTGTGTGTGTGTGTGTGTGTGTGTGTGTGTGTGTGTGTGTGTGTGTGTGTGTGTGTGTGTGTGTGTGTGTGTGTGTGTGTGTGTGTGTGTGTGTGTGTGTGTGTGTGTGTGTGGGTGCGTGCGTGCGTGCGTGCGTGCGTGCGTGCGTGCGTGCGTGCGTGCGTGCGTGCGTGCGTGCGTGCGTGCGTGCGTGCGTGCGTGCGTGCGTGCGTGCGTGCGTGCGTGCGTGCGTGCGTGCGTGCGTGCGTGCGTGCGTGCGTGCGTGCGTGCGTGCGTGCGTGCGTGTGTGTGTGTGTGTGTGTGTGTGTGTGTGTGTGTGTGTGTCTGTATAACGCATAACTCATGAACCGATACACAGAAAAACACCAAATTTTAAACTTAAGCTTTGTTTCAGCGTCCAATGAGCTGATTAGATTTTGGGCAGAGTCGGAACATCTGGGGGGGTACTTTATGGGTGGTCATTTTTATATTTTATGGAATATATCTGTTATTTACGTTTGGAGAAGAAAATTCTTCAAATAAAAGTTACTTTTAATATAATTATCTATAATTTTTGTTTTATGCAAAATTTTCCTAAAATGGTCCGTATTCGAGAAATTTGACAAAATGTAAAAAAAATAATTTTTTATAAAAATTGTTCAAATAAAAGTTGTTTCTAATATAATTTTCTTTAATTTTTATTCTATACATAATTTCTCTAAAATGGACCGTATTCGAGATATTTGAGAAAATGTGTAAATTTCGAATTTTTAAGAAAACTCAAAAACGGATAAAGAAAAAAACATTAAATTTTAAACTTAAGGTTTATTTCAGCCTGACGTGAAATGATTAGATTTTGGACACAGTCGGAACATCTGGGGGGGTACTTTATGGGAGGCCACTTTTATATTTTATGGAATATATCTGTTATTAATGTTTGGAGAAAAAAATTGTTCAAATAAAAGTTACTTCTAATATTATTATCTATAATTTTTGTTTTATGTAAAAATTTCCTGAAATGGTCCGTATTCGAGAAATTTGACAAAATTTACAAAATTCTGATTTTTATGAAAGTTTTTGAAATAAAAGTTGTTTGCGATATCGATCTCTATAAGTTTTGTTTATACATGATTTTTATAAAATGGACCGTAATGAAAAAATTGTAGGAAATTTAAATTTTTCATTATTTTCGTTTTCCATGAATATCTATAGAAAAATGTTTCGAGGTAGATGTATGTGGACAATGTATATATTTAGTTTATCCTCTAAACATTTATAGAGATGCTGCAATAGGTTGTACAAAATAACCGGAAAATGCCTATAATAACTAGATAGGAAAGTCATGTGTTGGACACATCAGATTTTTTTGTATGCATCCTAACCAGAAATATAATCTTGGAATCAGCGTCTTTGTCGATTGTGTTATTATTTTCTGCCCTTTTGATTATTTTGTTCATCTCCTCACCTTCTTTTTTCCTTGAGTGAAGCACCCTTTCCTTAACCATTAATACAATTGGTATAATTCCCGCTATTACGTATACACCTCTCTAGATATTGTTCGATAGGCACAGGATACTTTAATCAACATTTTTTTCTGTGAGCTTTGGATCATTTTACTGTTATTTTGAACCGTATCGGTTCTCCGCACAGGAGAATGTAGTGTACTACCTGGATTAATATTTACCTCTTATCTTGAGATGGGCCACTTATGTTTGCCATTAACCTTGCCAAAGCTGCATATGATTTTTTCGCTTTTTCCACTGTCTTCCTAATATGTTCGTTGTATATTAGCTTGTCATTGACGTAAATTCCAAAACATTTTGCATTTCTAATAGGAGTTATTACTGCATTCCTTACGTTGAAGATTATTTTTACTCTGTTTCTTGGTCCCCTAAATATGAAGGGCCTATACCCAGGAGCATATCAAATAGAAGAGGAAGATTTACCTAACTTGAAGCCACTTCAAATCATACACTTTCTTGAGAAGATAGGTTTGGAAGGGTCATTATAGGCATCGAGATATTTACTTGCTGAGTTAGTGACAGAATGTATTAACACCCCATTCCCAACATAATATAACATATCCCAAAAAAATGTTCCTGTTACACTTTTTAATATATTTTTTAAACTTCTTTCAATAATGTTAAAAAAAAAATATCAAAATTTATGCAAATATCTAGAATAAAGTTGTAAAATATTATAATTATTTACAAGTTTTTACCAAATGGTTTTATCATCTTTGGCCAATAAATAAATAAATAACTAATAGTGTTCATAATTAATAAATATAATTTTGTTCAACGACTATTTATTAAAACATACATTTATCAATCTATATATCGTATCTTAGTTAATTATATTATACATACTACAGCTTACTTTTTAAAACAATAAATTAGTATACATGAAGAAATCTAATTTTAATTTGAAAGCTTCTCTAAATTGAGCCACATTCCTCCTTCAACGGTTGGTACTCTGTTTGATGTTAATTTGATAGGTAGCTGTGTTTTTGCATTCAGAGTAACTTTATATCTAGAAATTATGGCAACTATACCTACCATCGATTGTATCTTGCCGAATCTTAAACCTGAAATGAAAATAAAAATTATAATTATTATTATTACATTCAGGGATAAATAAGTACATTAGCTCCAGTATAAAAACAATTTAAATATTATATAGATTTAATAATTTCTCCCGAACTCATAAATTATTCAAATAATTTAAATAAAAACTCGCTGAAATAAGTTAGTTTTTAGTAGAGAAAGTACAGTTTGTTACTCTGTCGGAATGAAAATTCAATACTCGTATACGAGGTTTGTCAAAAAATATGAATTTTGCTAAAGAGCAAAGTAAGTTTATTTTTATTTTTTGACAAACCTTGTATACGGCTTAGAAAATTTGATATTTGATGACTGTATTTTAAGTTTTGGGCCATGCAGAACTTTATATCAAAAATAACTTTTTTTCCTAAAATCAATCTATAACAGAATTAAATAAAATATCTAAATATTCTATATTAGAATGCTTTCTATTTTAGTATAGACTTTATAGTTAAAACGGTACTGCTGATCAAACAGGCATTAACGAATCGCCGTCTGGTAATCTGCCAATATATTTATTTCTAGACATTAAAGGTAAAATGGGAGCCCATTAACTGGATTTGATGGATAAGTGACTGTCAGCCATAGTGACCTATATATGCTGGTCTTTTGATTATAAAAGTTAAATGGCTATCATGACAATTGGAGGGTTATAGTTATTGGATCTTTTATTCCCCTACACAAAATGTTTGTTGGGTATGAAATAAATTCTTTAAGCGAACTTTAAATAAAGCTTCTTTTGGTAAAATCCGCCTCTAGGATTCCAATATTGTGACCTCCCACCCCCGGTCTTTTAGCTAATTATTAAAAGCCCTTATTTTAATTTAACTACCTCCCTCCGGTTGTGAAATTCAAAGAAATTCATACTTAGTGTATATGGCCTTTTCCTCTAGTAGTGTAGTGATCGTCTAGTTAATTAATTGATAATTTATATACCCACGTTGTGATAATGTTAATTAAAATAAACCAGGATTCGATGCAAAGTTTGGTACAAATTTGGGAATGAAATAATGTTAAAAATATATTTAACTTAATTTATTTTTTGGTCTCCAATAAAATAAGTATTGTGATGTTTGTTTATTTTAAACAACAGTTTATTTAATAATAATTTATTTAAACACTTATTTATTTATAACACTACTATTCTAATTTATATATACTTCGAATGTCTTTAAACTGATCACTATTTATATTCATCACTGACTATCTACTAATTACTATTTATCTTCACTGTCCATATGATAACTAAATCTGATGGCTCGTCCACCAATTTATATACAAATTTAAAAAAATGGCGCCAGCCTGTTTTGGTGCACTACCTTTGGTTTACCGTTTGGGATCTTACTTATACGATAAATTACATCATTTATTTTATTCTTGATGAGGTACGGACCTCCCAAGATCTTTGAAGCTTCGGAGAATAACCCTTTTGTCTTTATGGGTTATGGAGCTAGACTTTTTCGGCTTCCTTGGAACATCCCTTCGTAGCTTGAGTATCGTACCGTTTCTTCATCCTGTCGCTGGCGATTTGGAGATGCGAGCGAACTAATTTATGCATGTCGTCCATTCTTCTTCGTAACTGGATCACATAATCTTCACCAGATACATCTTCTCCAGGTCGGCATCCAAACTCGAGGTCGCACGGTAGTCTCATCTTACGCCCAAACAAGACCTTTGCTGGTGTTTGGCCTGTTGATTCATTGACAGCGGATCTATAAGCCATTGCAAAGAGCGAAAGATACTGATCCCAATCTCGCTGATGGTTTGAAACCACTTTTGACAGATATTTGCCAATGGTTTTATTCATTCGCTCTACCATTTCATCGGATTGTGGGTGCAATGCTGTGGTTCTGGTTTTCTTCATGCCTAGTCTATCACAGATTCCACGAAAAAGTTGACTTTCAAAATGTCTGCCTTGGTCACTGTGGATCTCCAAGGGCACTACAAATCGACAGATAAACTCTTTTATCAATACATCTGCAACAATTGCAGCCCCTTGATTTGGAATGGCATAGATTTCCACCCAATTGGTGAAATAATCCATAACCACCAAAATGTATTTATTACCATCCTCGGTCGCGGGGAATGGTCCAGCAATATCTAAGGCGATCCTCTCAAATGGGCTACCAACGTTGTATTAATTTATGGGTGCCTTCCTTTTTTGTTGAGGTCCATTACTCATAGCATAGGTGGTACATTTCTTTCAATAAGGCTTTTTACCATGTGAAACAATTGGTCCAATTTATTTCCCTGTTCATCTTCTTTTACAGTCCTTACTTCACTGTATCCATCAGAAGCCAGCGTAGCCGCTTCATATTCAAGAGCAGCGGACAAGACATCGACCAATGTTTTGTGACGGGCTAAACGAAGTGTTCTTTGCATTTCATGGTCACGAAGTCCATCTACAAATGCTTGAACAGCCAAACATCCCATAATGTTTTCTGGATCTGACGGGTAGGCAAATCACACCATCTTCGCAATATCTAATTCAAATTCTTGAAGGCTCTCGTCACGTTTCTGTTTGCAATTCTTCAACTGTAATCTGTATACCTGTTCCAAGTGTTCGTGGCCATATCGCATATTTAGTCTCTTTTTGAGTTGTTCAAAATCATCTGTTTCTTCTACGGGTATAGTCTGAAGGACATCCAAAGCGTTTCCTTGAAGGGCGATGGTCAAATGTATTGCCTTCTCTCGTTCAGACCACTCGTTTGCTCTGGCAGCTGTTTCGAACTAAGGTAGTTCGTCCATGACATCTTCCCGTCAAAAGTTGGGGCTTTAACACGAGGAGAGTTTACAGCTCCTTCCAATTTCAACTTCGACTCCACCTCATGGCACTTTATTTCACCGTCCTTGGCCGGTTCTGATTGTTCGAGTTCTTCTATCTTCTTTTTCACTTCTTTTATTTTCTCCTCAACGGAAGCCATTATTTTCTCCTCAATGGAAGAAATCTTATCCTCCATAGAAGAAATTTCGTTTTTCATGGGTCATATCAGAAGAGATTTCATCTTTTAAAGAAGACATTTCGGAAGACACTTTTTCTTCTAAGGAAGAAATATTGGACGAAAATTTATTTTCCATAGAAGACATTTTAGTTTCCAAGTCGGAAGAAATTTCGGCTTTTAAAGAAGATATGTCAGACGAAACTTTACCTTCTAAGGAAGTAATGTCAAAAGAAACTTTTGTTTCTAATGAGGAAATGTTAGAAGAAATATCGGTTTTCATAGAGGACATATCAGACGAAACTTTGGTTTCTAAAGAGGAAATTTTGTTATACAAATCGGAAGAAATTGAAGAAATTATTGAAGAAGCATCATCCGAAAATAGAAACGTTTCCGGATCCAAACCTTCACTTTCCAGTGCTTCTTTAAGTCGTTCGGCCAGATCTGCTTTCTTCCCTGTCGTCTCCAACTCGCGATCTTCTAACTCCCGACGTAGCCATTATTGTCCACTATTTATTTACACTATCTCACTTCCCGACACCAATGTTATGTTTGTTTATTTTAAACAACAGTTTATTTATTAATAATTCATTTAAACATTTATTTATTTATTTATTACACTACTATTCTAATTTATATATACTTCGAATGTCTTTAAACTGATCACTATTTATATTCACCACTGACTATCTACTAATTACTATTTATCTTCACTGTCCATATAATAACTAAATCTGATGGCTCGTCCACCAATTTATATACAAATTTAAAAAAATGGCGAATGTTCTAGTAAGTTCACATATTCTCTCCAATACACTAGAAACATTATCTCGTTCTTTCTCGAACATCATCGAAATAACCTCCACCATAGTCGTCCCATAGGTTTGGTCTTAAGGGGTTTAATTATGTATAATGTGTGTGGTCTGCTTTAAGTGAACACATGTTTGTTAACCTCGTTCTCAAAAAAGTGACAGAAATAAGATATTTCAACGAAAAATTTAAGTTAAAAGTGCATTCCTGTGATAAATGATTGTGCCATAAGTTCAAAACTAGTAAAACTGTATGTATCTATGTGCTTATTTTCATAAAATTTCCTTTGGAAACTAAAATTTACCGATATTGAAATAGTTTTTTGGTTTAAACTTACCCTGATAAGAATTTAATAAATCTATTAATATAAAGGTGGCCATACACTATAAATTAATTATTAATTTTTAAATCTCATATTCCGAATAAGATGTCAGAATCAGTGATCAGAAGAGTTGTTGAAGAATCATTAAAAAAGGTTTTAGAAGAAGTAAAAAAGAATAGATCTGAATTAAAGCTTGCCATTGATTCAAGCGAGACTCGATTAATGCTGAAGCTAGAGGAACAAAACGCTAAAATAAGAGTATTAGAACAAGAAAATTCTACACTGAAACAAAAAATAAAATATCTTGAAAAAAACCAGAGAAAAAACAATTTAATTTTATTTGGGCTCAATAAGCCACAGGAAGATTTAAGAACAGAATTAGTTATTAACGAGATAAAAAAACTTGTTGGAGTCGAAGTAAGTGAAGGAGATATAAGTAACTTCTATACTCTTGGAAAATCACCAGCAGCTCCCTTAAAAATCGAATTCGTAACATACTTTAAGAAAAACGAAATATTTCAAAAAAGAAAAAACCTCAAAGGGTCTGGTTTCTCAATTAACGAAGATTTAACAGAGGAAGACAGGGAAACATATAAACAACTAAAAAATTATTTAATAGAATACAGAAAATCTGAAAAATATAAGAAGTGTTATATTCGAGGTAACTATCTTGTGATAGACGACAATAAATATTCTCTAGAAGATCTAAAATCTTTTGAAGAAGAAGAAAAAGGATCTAGTAGTGCACCAAATACTCCAAATCCCACAACGCTGCTTGAAGAAGAAAGAGAAGACAGCTTTCAGAATCCCACTCCAAAAAATTTGAAGCCAAGAACAAGGCTCAATTCAAATAAAAATAAATAAATAGTGTAAATATTAATTTCTGTATTTTTTACTTAATTTTTTACTATTT